CATCCATAAAAGACAATGCATCCTACAAAGACTGGACTATAAGATATGAGAAAATATCTAATATTTATTCTGTGCTTGTTCTTTGCTATGCAGTGTTAAATTAATCCTTACAGCACTATGGAACAAGTATTATCCTCCTTTTATAGATGAGAACACTTAGGCAAATAAAAGCTTTGTGAGTTGTCCTAGGTTATATACAGTCCTAGGTTACACAAGTGCTGGAGCTGTGATTTGAACACACACATCTGACTCCAAAGGCCATAATCTTAACCACTTTGATATACTGCATCCAATTGGATTTTAATCCCAGCTAAGCTACTAAATGTGTGTGAAGGGAAATTTATTTCTCTTCAGATCATATTTCTCATCTATAACATAGGAATTGGTTGGATTAGATGATCTGTAAGTTCCCCTCTACCTCTACCTTCTGACTTTAGTTGATTCCCAAGTATTATCTGAAGATAGAAGTTCTGGTGTGCTAGAAAACCTTCCTCAGTTTTCATGTGTTTCACATGGCTTTTACATGTGTTTGTGTCTTCTCCAGTGGTAGACACACAGTCATGTTTTTATAATGGAAAGAACAGTTCAGAGTTTAAAAGAAATTGCAGCCATGCTTTTTTACCAGCTATGACACTAGTAAGTCACTGAACCTTTGTGAGCTTATGTTTTCATATATAAAATGGATCCACAGGAATGATGTTAGGGTAAAGTGAAGTGACATATAAAGCCTCAAACACATTGTCTGACACAGCTGCCATTAAATAAATATTGATTTTTTTCTCCCTAAATCTTGTGAAGATAAGAGATTGGTGGATATAAAAATGCTTTATAAATTACATAAAGATGAAGACTCTTTTACATAGTCTACTAGAAGGGATATTATGTAAATATAGTTATTTAAGGGACACTTTACATACATTATTGAACACAAAACATGATGAGAATGGGGAGAAAAATTTTGCTTCCAGGAGGGCAGATGAGGAAAGACCTCATGATGAGGGAAATATTGAATTTGAGCCTTACAGAATGATGAAGATTTTGGCAGGGGGACAAGAGAGAAGAGTGTTGTATTGAAAAATGCAAAAAGGTGTCAGAAAAGAGAATAGTGTTCAGTTCACTTTGGAAATGTGGGATGGGTGAAGGCAAATAATAAAGTTAAACTAAAAAACTGAGTTTAGGACAAGCTATAGACAACAGTGTGGGCAAATTAGAGATGTTAGGCTTTTTACAATAAGCAATGATTTGTGCATATAAACAGGAGGGTGAGTTAGCATTTGTTTTCTTTGCTCTGGAAAAGTGCCCATTTGTTAAAGTATTAAAGTATACCAATAAGCCAAAAAAGAAAATAAAAATTGCCCATAATCCCACCCCTCAGTAATAACCACTCATTTTTCTCTACATTACAGATTTGTTTTTTAAATAAAAATGATATAATACTATACATATTGTCTTGTGATCTGCTTTTTTCCATGTGATCTGTACCATGAATCTTTCTATGTCAATACACTTCTATAATTTTTAGGGCCTGCACACTATTCAATTTTATGAGTATAACTTAAACTAACTTCCTACTGTTAAATAATGGTAAAATAAAAGTTTTTATGGTAGAATATTTTCACATATATTTCCTTATTGCAAATTGTAGAAGGAAAACTGGTAACCCATGGATCATAAACACAGTACTTCTGATGTGTATTGCCGTGTCAGACTTTTAATTCATTTAATCAAGTCTATTTAAACTTGGTGTAAATTCAGAAGATAAATAAGGGCATATGATGAGACATTAGCCTCACTCTCACCCCTTTGCACTCCTGAGTCACAGATAGCCCATACAGCACCTTGTAAGAATTAGAAAAAGGCATCCCCTTCTGGAGGATCCGTAACTTTTGGATATACACTGTTTGAATAGATACTAATTTTGTAAGGCTTGGCAAAGGCATCCTTTTGTTTATAGGTATAGCCCTGCATGGTCTGGGGCACCAGAGTATGGGCTGGATTTCACCCCCTTAGTTTTCAGTACTTTTATGCAGAGCACGATCCGTACAACCCATGAGATAGCCCAGCCATAGTGTTTCATTCTCCAGAGGCACCCAGTATGACTAGTTTCCTGTGAATCTTTTGAAAGATGAGGGACTGGCTTTTCATCAGATCTGTGGCTCCAGATAAGCATCGTACATCCCATCCCCATCTGTGTGGGTATAGGGGTGTGCCTGTGGAAGGACGTGTTTGGGTAAGTTAAGATCTTGGGCAATATTGCTAACTGTCATGTCCCTATGGAGAGCACTGGAATGAAAAAAGAAGGGTGAATCAAGCAAGGCTATAAGGAACATGTAGCTAGATCCCCACTGCTACCCAACACACACACGTTTTCTCACTCTTCCTCCAGCTCCCCTACTACATACAAGTGGGAGAGCCCACCTTGAAACACTCACCTTCTAGCTTCTCTCACTCTTCTAAGCACTTCCTTACCACACTGACAGCAGCCCATATATATACTCCACTTAGTCGTGAGGCAAAAGATCCAAATGAGTCCCAGGTAAGCATTCCATTGCTTCTGGGATCTGACACTCATTCTGATCTTAACACACTCATTGATCACACATGAGATTCTGGGAATGATGTTGAAGTAGCAATTTGAGTATTTACTTTATAAAAGCCAACACCAAAGCCGAATACAAACTTTGTTCAAATACAGAGGCCAGTCAAACTTAGTGCATCCTTAGAAACACATACATCCCATATAAAATGTTTCAAGCTAAAAAAGAGTTAATTTTCATTTTAATTAATTGGGCAATGCAGTATAATGTAAACAGCTGAATTCAGAGAGGGCCTGGGTATGAGCCTAAACTCATGAATTTATATAATTATGATCTTGAATTAGTGACTTAAATTTTTTGAGCTGCAATTTTTTATCTATGAAGTGGTGATAATATCAACAATATGGATTTACTAGGATTAAATGTAATAATGTGTGCAAGTATACAGAGGTATCAGAAGAAATTTATTAGGGTGTCTATCTCTTTTTTTAGGAAAAGTGATTGTTTTAAAATAAGATCTGTGGCTCCAACTGTGAAGTCAAAGAGACTTGGGTTTGAATCCCAACTCTGTCATTAGTTGTATCATATTGGAAAATTGCTTTTCTACTCTGATTGTTTACTTATTTGTAAAATGGGAATAGCATATTCATAAGGTTTTGTGAAGATTAAATGAAATAATGCATGCATAGAGGTTAATATGGCTGCTGGTGCTGTAAGCACTTTGTTCAAATTCCCCAAGAAGGAGATGCCAAGAGCGGAGTAGATATACAAGAGGTTTGCTGGGAAAACTGCCTGTGAAGGATAAAGAAGAGGGAGCAAGAGTAAGAGGAAAGTGCCTTTGTGCCTCAATGCAAGTCTGACAACCTATGAAGGAGGTAAAGAAGGAAAGAGAGTAGAGTGAGAAGAATATAAAACTGCTATACTGTTTTAAGAAAGCTTCAACGAGGCTAATGGGAGTCCTAAAGCCAAAGTCCTCAGAGGAATTCCATGTTGCCACAGTACTCAATATAATGTTAACTAGTAATAAAAGTGATCAACAGTTGTCACATGCTAAAATGTGTGTGTTTGAATTTCAACTGTTTACTGCCTATCCCCACTCCTGCCACACTTCAAGAAAAGTACAGTCCCTACAAAAGTACAATGTCAGACACTGACATTAACATTTGAGGCATATGTTCTTACACTATTATAACTTCTATATATTTTATAATTTTTTTTTTTTTTAGCCAGAAGAACAGTTAAGGGACCAAAAAATCTGTTCCAAATAACAGTTGAAAAATGCAAATATTCGCTAAGCAACTGATTTTTGGCATTAGTTTAACACAAACTGCTGTCTAAATTTCTGAATTCAGGTAGCCAATAAATATAACATCAATCTTATATAGCTAAATAATGTTAATATCCATAGTTTGAATATTAGCATAAAACTTGAATGTCTATTTGCCTCCCTCCCAAAGATATCTCTGTGGCTAAAAAGGTAAAAAATATTACAGTATTACAGTTTTATAGGGTCTTCCTTCCCCACCTTTTTGTTGTTTTTAATAAGCAAATGTAAAAATCCATCAGTTCAATACTTTTCAGATGGCAGGCTCTAAGCCATCAATTTGGTTAAGTAGTGACCTGCAATTATCTTTTAGGTATGTGTGGTTTCAGGGTTCGGGATATAAAATTTATTTGTTACTAGGAATCACAATTGAATTTGAAGGCTGTTGATTTAGATTAACTTCTTTATCATACATGAGGAAATGAAGATTAAAGAGGTGATTTAACTTGTCTACGTATCTTGGGAAACATGTGTCTTGAACCAGGTACTAGATCTTACGAATCCAAATTTAGGGCTCTTTGTTTAGTATAATACTTCTCAGAAAAAGCTTCTAGTTTGCCCTACTTAGGGTACACTATTACTCCAGTTGGTTAATGTGATAGTACTTTTCTGACACTTTAGTTATTTGTTTGTTAAGATCTACTGAAAAGAGCTCTTCCCTAACTCTGGCCATTGGGGATCAGGGAGGTTGTACAGCTGTAGTTGTTTGTAGCAGTCAGTAGCCATGCCATGTAACCTGAATTTACTGTCCATTTTCCTCCATGGATCACAGCCGATTCAACAGTTTAAGTCTGGAGCTTACTTAAGTAACACTAAGGAGTGAAAGGACCTTGTTTTGAGGAGTACTATAGTGATGAGGTCAGAACTTTTAGTAATACTGGTGAATATTATTTTGTGCTCCATTGTGTCATGACAGTTCTTTAGCCATCTTTGTTGCTTTTTTAAACTTTAGCTCATCAAATATTTTTCACCTTTAAATTCCAAGTTTTGTGTATAATCACTTATTGTATTCCTTTAAAATTTTTTAGGTATATTATTCTTTCTTTCTCTAGCATATATTCGTGCTTGCCTTCAGAAATGTCCACGGTCAGTGTAGTTCCTAAAAGGTGATCCAGGCTGTCCTCTGCTATTCAGAGCTTTGACTGGGAGAGAGGTTAGGAGTGGGACTGGTTCTAAGTGGAGTCCTTCTGGACTCTATTTCTATGTTGCCTCCTGTACTCTGGTTTTATTAAGGCTGCCTATGCTTATTCTTTTGATTAACTTTACGTGGTCATTATCTTTCTGGGGCTTTCTCATTTGTCTAACTCAGCAGTTATCAAACTTTAGTTTCAGGAGTCCTTTATACTCTTAAAAATTACTGTTCACTTCTAAAACCATTACTTCTACTGACAAGGCTTCTGGGCTTGGGCATCACCTATCACTCCAGCTCAAGTGAGCTTCCTTTGAACTTTCTAGTCCTAATGATCTTCTCCAACTTGGAAGAACCTGTGCACTGATTCAGTTGTGGTTGATGGTGATAAGAGTAGTCCCAAGCCAGAATGCAATGGAGTCCTCCTATTCTTACCTAAAGGTAAGCAGTTTTTGTAATATAAAAGCTTCCTGAATTTTTATATTCATATGGTCCATTTCTGAACTGAAATAGTTGTATCTGTCTCTATTGCCTAGCTCTATAGTTTCTTTTGGGAAGAGTATTTGCTGATTTTACTCAGCCATAGTTGGAGTCCTGTCTGGTCTTGTTGTATGTATGCAGTTTTTTCTTGACTCTCTCACGGTGATAGAAAATTAACATGTTCCATTAATTGGTTTGTTTTCTTTTGCATAAATTTTTGTTTTATCTTGGTCTCCAATGTGAAAAATTTTTTCTTCAAATGTTGAGTGGTACTTGGACATGCATTCATATTAGAAAGGAACAAATAAAAAAGCTGCATAGAGATTACATTAGGATGGCACAGATTCTACTGGTACAGCTTACTTTAGAGTGAATAAATGGTGAACCATTAGCATGCTAGAAGTCAACTAAAGGCCAGAATGAGGCAGACTTTTCTTTGGGGCACCCATTCCCACAGTTTCTAGACACTTAATTCATGTCTTCAGACACACCATTTCTCCCATTTATTTATTTTCTTTACCCACAGATATTTAGAGACAAGAGCTAAACAAAGTAGTTGCTTGTACAAAAAGGCTGGGAAGGTATATTGTCTCTTGAACAAATCTTGATTGTGTTTTTTAGTTTAATTTCTTACTCTACACTTCTGCCAGGGTTATCAGGTCATTCCTTTAATTGCAGCCCTCTGTGCTCACATTCTAGAGTGTAGCTTTGCTAACTCTATTTCTTCTTTGAATGTTCTTTCATCTGTCTTATATAAATTTGTAGTTAATGGCTCGCTCTTCATTTTTGTGGGTTTACATCTCCCCTTCCCCTTGCATACATGTATTATCTTTTTAAGGGGATATCTAGAAGGACAGAGGAAAATATATGCTGTTTTAGCTTCCTAACCAAAAATTTGTACACATATTTTTATTTTTTTATTTTTTGAGACAGAGTATTTTTTGAGACAGAGTCTCGCTCTGTTGCCTAGGCTAGAGTGAGTGCCATGGCATCAGCCTAGCTCACAGCAACCTCAGTCTCCTGGCTCAAGCAATCCTTCTGCCTCAGCCTCCCAAGTAGCTGGGACTACAGGCATGCGCCACCATGCCCGGCTAATTTTATATATATATATATATATTAGTTACCCAATTAATTTCTTTCTATTTATAGTAGAGACGGGGTCTCGCTCTTGCTCAGGCTGGTTTCGAACTCCTGACCTCGAGTAATCCGCCTGCCTCGGCCTCCCAGAGAGCTAGGATTACAGGCGTGAGCCACCACGCCCGGCCTGTACACATATTTTTAATACCGTTGCAATTTAATGTGTATATGCTCTCTTGAGTCTTGTTTTCACTTCTCATTTTAAGCATTTTCTACATTGTTATCCTTCTTCATAATTGTTTGTAGTGGATTATGGACATATTTTTTAAGAAACTGTTTTGTTTTTATTATTATAATGGTTATTGTTTTAGTTATTTCCTCCTCTCTCTTTATCCTTTCCTCCATCCCAACATCACACACGTTCACCTTTCCTCGGTTAACCAATGTTAACAACATTGACAATGTGTGGAACAGTAATTCTGATTTTTTCCTTTGGTCAAACTAATTAGTTGAAAGCTATCAAAAAGGGCACTTCACCCTAGAGCAGGCTGACATTGTCATCAAGAATGCAATTTCAGTTATTTATGAGTTTTCCAGGAAACCTTGTGATTTCAACTGTGGAGTGTATGTGATGTGCTGTACCTCAGTAATGGCTTCCTAGTGTTGGCATCTCCACCTTAGTTTGTAGATGGAACTGAACCATTTTCCTCATTATAATTCATGTTTCCTTTTTTATTCAAATTTACTTCCCAGAGTAGCTAAGTTGTCCATTAGAGTTTATATTTGTTTCTGATGAAATATCAACCAGAGTTCAGCTTGGGATAATGGATTTTAACATTTAAGGATTTATATATCAGACACCAAAGAAAGGCAGGAAGTATGAGGACAATTAACAAATATTGTAAGAAACATATGAAACCTTATTCATATCAGTTTCCTAGACAACCTAGGCCTAACCAAGAGATCATTTTGGCTGATCATAGATAACAAAATAGCTTTTTCTATTAAGTAATGCATTTATTGTTTGACCTGTTTTCTTTTTAGTAAGGCAAAATAAAGAAAAAATATAGATTTTGGAACTAAAGAAGTAAAACTCATTATGTGTGCATGATGTAAAACTACAGGAAAAAAAGTAAGAGTTTAGCAAATATCCTGGATAAGCATATCAATATAGAAAAACTGTATGCATATATACATATGTAAACAAAAGGAAAAGTTTTACAAAGAGGTTTTTTGTTTTTGTTTTTGTTTTTTTGAGACAAGGTCTCACTATGTTTGTTGCCTAGGCTAGAGTGCAGTGTCATGATTATAGCTCTTGACAACCTGGGTGCTCAAACTCCGGGGCTCAAGCAATCCTCCAGCCACAGCCTCCTGAGTAGCTTGGATTATAGGCACACACCACTGTGCTCGGCTAATTTTGTTTTTTTTTTTTTTTTTTTTTTTTGCAGAAATGAAGTCTGTGTTGCTTAGGCTGGTCTTGAACTCCTGGCCTCATGTGATCCTCCTGCCTCCCACCCCCCAATGTGCTAGAATTACAGGCATGAGCCACTGCACCCAGCTGAGATATTATTTTTTAATAACATTCAAACTATGAAGTGCCTAAGAATAAATCTCACATAACTAGAGATGTGCAAAACTCCTATGGGGAAAATAAGAGAATGTTATTTTGTGACAATATGTTCTCAATAAGTGAAATGATATATAATACACATGGCTTGCAAAACCCAGTGCTGTACAGTTGCCCAATTTGATCAAAACAATCTCAGTCAAATTCTTAACTTTGTTTTGGTGGGGAACGGGGAACACTTAACAAAAGATTCTAAAATTATATGGAAAGGTCAATAGCCAAGAATAACAACAGCATACTTTGGTGTAGGAAAAGACAAATAGATTGGTGGAAATTTATCAGTGAAATGTTCCATGGCCTCACAGCATTGGTGCCATTACCTGGGAACTTGTTAGAAATATAGAATCTTAATCAGAATCCAGATGGGGCTCAGTGGCTCATGACTATAATCCTAGCACTCTGGGAGGCCAAGGCAGAAGGATTGTTGGACTCAGGCGTTTGAAACCAGCCTGAGCAAGAGATAGACCCCCTCTCTACTAAAAATAGAAAAATTAGCTGGGCATTGCGAATGCATGCCTGTAGTCCCAGCTACTGGGGATGCTGAGGCAGGAGGATTGCTTGAGCCTAGGAATTTGAGGTTGCAGTGACCTATGATGACACCACTGCGCTCTACCCCGGGGCAGCAGAGTGAGACTCTATCTCCAAACAAACAAACAAATCAGAATCCATTTGTAACAAGATCCCTGGTAATCTATTTTTAATAAGATCACCCTGAAGAGTGGGGAAAAGATGGTTTTAGTAAACAGTCTTGGTCAACTAATAATGAAACAGGAAAAAAGCAATTGGGTTGAATAGCATTGCTTGTTTTATATGGTGCAACCATGCCTTATTCTCTTTGAGCCACATTTCTTTAGGAGTGATCAATTCTTAGTGAAAATAAAGGGAATGTTTTCAATATGCATTTTCCTAGGTTCCCCTATTATCTATGTACCTATAGTCTATGGCTTTTCTTGGGCACCCATCTTCAGAATGTCTCTATGTACTTCCATCATCTCTTCTTCATGGCTCAAATCCATATGTCATAATTTAATGATAGTACTGTCACTACAATGTAGAAAACTAATGTTGTGAATGTGCCCTCCCTCCTACTGTGGCAGTGATAAAGCATTGTCCAATTATTTTATAGGTACATTTTATAAATTCTGGAAAAAACTGCCGAAGATAACTAAAGAAGGGACAATTCTTCTGACAACTTGTGAGGAAATAATTTTCTGCCTTAGGATTAGAAGACCAGCTCATTTTTAGAGTCTTCTGAAATAAAATTAGGTAAGAAATGTTTTCATATTTTGAATAATTTGTACTCTGCCTACTCAGTTGCCTTGAAGGCTTCTATAATTCTATTCCTTTGGCCTCTAAGAGAATACAGTTAGCATCTTCTTTTAGGAAGTTAGTGTGCCAGCCAGCTGTCAGCCTTATGATGTACCTGATCTCCAGTGTCAGGGGAAGCACAATTCAATTTTAAACCAAGTCTTCTGCACAACAGTGCAGCGGGGCTGCCAGCATTTCTCTTTATGTTCCTTTCTTTGAAATTCCCCATTCTATCCAAACAGTGTACTTTTATTTTAAATTCCTCGTGTGAGATAAAACCACCACTAACTGACTTTACTTGTCTTTAGTTAAAAATCAATGAATTGAATGAAATAATTCGTATATCTGTTACTCTTTTTCATTTCTAGAAAATAAAATGCCACTGCTTGTTTAACTTGTGACTTGTCTAAACATGTTGGAAGTATTGACTATAAGGCATAACACTCAGAGTCTGAAAGGGAACTGTGACAAGTTCAGTCAAAAGGGAAAAGAGGAATAATTTATAAAAGGCACTGCAGATAATGATGCCAGCCAGTTATTTTAAAATGCATCCATCTCACCTTTTAATGAATTAGATTTGTCAACAGCAAATGTTTTATGCACTACTTCTAATAAAAGTGGCATGCTAGGAGTGCAGTGCTTTGAGGTTGGCTTCTTCAAAGCTTTAGAGTATCTTCAATTCAAAGATATTTTTTAAATAATAGATATTAAAAAGTATATTTAAATAATATTAAGGTTGTGACACAAACACCAAATGACAAAATTCAGGAGTTTCAAAGCAGAGGATGACATGCCATCACTATTTCACATAAATAACTGTTTTTAAATTAGGAGTATAACAGACTGATTTGGGATTGGTGTCAGTTTAACTTTAAATTCTCTTGTTGTTTTGGTTGGTGTCACAACCTTAATGTCAACTTTTCAAATAGGTTTCTACATTCCCTTTGGTTCAGGGTCATTAAAAACTGAATACTATAAATCTAAGAGGCATAAATAGGTCACACTGAAGTGGAATTCCTTGCTTCTCCAGAGGTGAGAGACAGTTAATACCTGCCTTCTAAGTGGAAAAAAGTTACCTTAGGCATTTTCAGTAAATTTTTATTTTTTAGGTATTTGATTCAGAAAAGGGTAAACCAAAATAACAAGACATGATGTTGGTATAATTCTGTTCACTCTTTTCTTCTTGTACCTTTAATCCTAACGATTTGATCTTTTAGTGTTATCATCTCTACAGTTATTAAGAATCATAAGTCCCACTGTTGATTTTTTTTTTTTTTCAATAAAAGCGTAACTTTGCTTTCACGTTAAGAATCATTATTTGATGTGATTGAGTACAGGTAAACCTTGCTTATAAAATTCCATCTGCCAGTCCTTTATATAAAGCATTTTTATGCAGGTTTTTAAAAATCTTATTTTTGTAAAGTCAACACTTGTCATAGAAAGTAAAATGTAAAGTAAAATATGATGTGCTGTGCATTAAAAGATTTCTAGTACCATACCACACGTCGAAGCAGCAGCCAGGAACATCCTTACCCCAATAGGTAGGGCAAAGGGGAGAGAGGAAAGAGGAGAGAATAATCTACTCGCCCAAATCCCTCCTTTTTCCTTGATTCTTATCTGTCATGATCTTACATATTGCCTATGTTGAATCTAGTTTTAATTTAGAAAAATAACTGTAATAGAATTTGTTCCACAATTTTTTCACCACTTGTGTTAGGAAAATAAAAGATGAAAAGATAGGCAACTTATTTATTGACCTTTTAAGATACTCATCAACCAAAAACATTTAGTAGCACTCTCTCATCTTCTTGATTGAACCACCAGGTTTTACCCTTTCTGGTTTTTATCAATGACTAGGTGAACATTAATCTTTCTTTTCTAATGTACTACATTCCTTCCATGTTTTTATTTTTCAGCTGGTGTTGACTTTGATAAATTTCTTATAGTTTTCATTTGAGAAGATGGCTGTGAAATTTTATCTTTATTTCTGGTGCTAACTTCACTTTTCCTACTCATTGGTCCCTCCTATTATGGGTCCCTCCCAATAATGACCATTTGGTGTCATTATTACATCATCACAATTCTGACAAATAATCATCTTTCTAAGCCCCAGTTCTCAGCAGCAAGAAGTAATAATGCTGCATTGTATAGTGGTTTGAAATGATATACCGTTGTATTGGAAGGATTTGGTTAAATCCTCCAAACTCATTTAAACTTAGCAATGTGCTTCCTTAAAGAATTCGTTTAAATCATTATCATTTACACTGATACTAGTTCTGATATCTGTTTCATAGAATGAAATTTTTAAAACAAAAATGACTCTTTCTAAATTCAGAAGAAGCTACTCAAATAAATGAATTGGAACTCAGTGTGTACCCATAATATAAAAAAGTTTTCTGGCATACAAACGAATTATGCTTTTTAAATATCATAAACTAAGCCAGTTTCATGCAAATTCATTTAGAGCAGTTTCAGATTTATGTATTTAATAAAAGCCGGGTGGTAGATCTAACTTATGTATTTAATGTCCTTCATTGTAATGTTCTAGTGACTGCCTGAAAAAGAATGATGACATTTTATTTAGTTCCTGCCAGATCAGTCAATTCTATAAATGGCTTTCTAATGGGATGCAATATATGCTTTTAATATTTTTCAGTAATGCTAAGAGATAACATTTATTGAGTCCTTTCTATATGCCAGAGACTGTCCTATCTATGGATTATCCCATGTAATCCTGATAACAACCCTTTAATTATCTCACTGTTTTACAAATGTGGTTGAGGTGTATAAGAAAGTTATACAACTAGTAAGTGATGGAGCTAGGATTCAGACACAGGCTGTGTAACTTCTGAATCCTTGCTACTCAAAATGTGATCCTCAAGTCAGCAGCAATATCACTCTCACCTGGGAACTTGTTAGAAATGCAAATATCAAACCTACTGAAAATCTGCATTTTTAACAATATTCCCAGGTGATTGGTACATAACAATTTGAGAAGCACAGATCTAAACCACTATGTTATCCTGCCCTTATACACAGAATTAAGTATCTTTTAAAATAAATTTTCATTTTTCTACATGATACCGAATTCCCATTTTTATGCTAATTTTGAGATTCCTGTCATATTTCAAGTACATTATAATGAGATCTAGTATCATAACTAAACATGAGCAGGGATGTAAGGTAGACCCAAGGTATCTTGAAAAAAAAGTCTTAACACCTAAACAGCAACTATTCCTCTGTACAGAGGCAGTAATTGTTCCAACATCTTAGACTTTCTTAGCATCACAGTGTAAAAGACTGTCTCTGAGTATAGACTCTGGAGACAGGCTGCCTGGATTTGAATCTCACCTCCTATTTCTAGCTGTTGGATCTCAGGAAAGTTATATAACTCTGTACCTCAGCTTCATCATCTGGGAAATGAGGTCTAAAGCCATTCTCTACAGGATTGTTATAAGGCATAAATAAGTTAATGCATGTAAAGTATTTGAAACAAGGACTCCTATGAGGTAAGTAAATAAATGTCAACTACTTTTGTTCTTAGCTATGATTCCCATCTTTGAATAGAATAGAGTCACACTTCATACTTCATGGTTAGCTATTGGTAATAAGTTGACAAATACTTTTTGCTAGAAGAGCTTACCACCTAAAGGGATATCTTTGCTGTTAGAGTCAAAATCACAAACTTCGGTTTTTGTATTTTCTGAAAACCTCTCCTCATTTTCTGCTTGTGAGTTCTGCTTAAATACCACCTGATTATGATATTTAACCAGTTAAGTCCAATGCAGTTAGTTCAAAATAAAAATGAAATGTGCTAACTATGTTTTGTAATTTTAAATATATGTACTTCTATTATGGATAAAAATAATGAGGATGTGAGTCCATTTGGCCAAAGTCTGTAAGTAATACGGAAAAATTGCATAGATAAAGAATATTTGTTTAAAGGCTAAATGCTCTTGAAGCTGGTTTGTTTTCTCCTGGGTGAACATAATTCTGAAATAATCATGAGAGCCTTAAGGGAAATAATGGTTTGGTGTACAAGTATTCACCTAACAACTTTTCTGAAATACATTTAATGCATGAAGTGAGATTGCATGTTCTTGGAAAGGACCAATTCGAAAGCTGATTTGTAAAAAGCATTAAGATAAAAATGCTTGGTGAAAAGAATGCTCTAGGAGATTTTTAAATGGCCAAGTCTAGGACCCACGTCAGAGAGTTTAATTCACTAGGTCTAGAATAGGCCACAGGTATCTGAATTGTTAACAATGTCTCTGGTACTTTGGCTTATTTTGGTTTTGACTATACTTTGAGAAACACTGAAGTATAGACAAAGACGTATTGAAAATAGCTTTGTTGACTACCCATTCCTTTTTGCAACATTGTCCTCTTTCATACTGTTTTTGTCCCATTTACGACCCCACTCTCTTTTTCTTCTATGGCTCTTTTCCTACCTTCTGTTGTTAGTGAGCCCCAAACCACTCCTACCTTTTCTGCTTTGCTCTTTTTTACCCTTTCTCAAAGATCATCTCTTCTGGATTTATCAGTCATATCTTTACAGATGGTTCTATAAAATGATCATGAAGGTCTCTTTTTAATCTAAAAATCTCCAAGCCAAACTACAGGTGCTGAAATCAATTTAGAAGCTGTGGACAGCATTAAAAAAAAAAAAGGAAAAAATAAAATAGAGTATAAAATATAAGAACAGGTATTAAGAGTAAGTAATGTTTTGTGAAGCTTTTGTTTAGGATATGTGTGTATACTCATATACATTAGATTGCTATGCTTTTTTTAACCAGTGGTCTGTAGTCCAAAAATGTTATATTTTTTAGAATAGTTTTTTGTTTTAATTATAATTATAGTCTTGGTCATATCATTTATTAGCTCTATAACTTATGTATTTAAATTAAAGAAATGTTATTGGCTACCCATTAGAATTTATAAATATAAGGTGTCGTTAT